GATTCCAAATTTTATAATATACAAATATATAATCAATTTGATTTTTTTTAATTAACATATTATATTATTTAATTCTTTTTTACTATCTTGTTACAGATATTCATATCTTGTTTTTATAACACATTTACATATCATTAAATACAAATTTGAAACTTAATAACATGATGGCATAWGTGGACAGACTTCATTCATGTACACATATCTTTTATTGGAGTTGAGCAGCTTTAAACAATTCTTGCCATTTTTTTGTGTCACTTCCTGGTCCATCACCCTGCACCATAACACCACTTGTAAAACTCCATTTATTTTATGATGCTTGTAAGAAATTCAACTCAAATCAAAACACGACAATTGCTGCAATGTAGATGTCTGTGTGAAGAATTAATATCGTAATCTCCAGATATGTGAAAATGTTAGAATGCTCACCGGTACCGAGTTGATTTCGTATATTTGGCCTTGAGTGAAATCTATGTCCAATGCTTGTATGCAAGCTTCARCAACTACCAGCCTACTAACCTCCCCTACAAGTTTATCTCTTGCAAGTAATAAAAGAAACAATCTACTTAACGAAACGCACTCATCCATATAGGAAACTTTTTATAAGTGTCATGTTAACCTATTTATACATAGGGACACTACAAAGAAAAAAAAGGCTAATAGGATAACTTATTTTTTGTGTCCTATTAGGTTGCCCTACTTCAAGACTCATTAGAYTGCCCAACTTCATCCTAACAACTTATTGTAAGGCTTTTAAATAAGACACCAGTTTTTGGTCCTATAAACTTGGGGGCTTTTGGTTCAGATAATGAAATTTGGTGGAATTGGAATCTCCATAGGAATTTCACTTTGAAAGAATTATAATGGAATTTGACCACGCGTTTGATTGATAGAAATTGGAATAGAATCTCTCAAAAGAATTGGAATCTCCATCTCTGTTTTTTTTGGGGGTGGGGGTGGGGGTGGGGTTGGTAGCTATGATGAGGACAGTATTGGGCACGGTGGTAGGGGTGGCAGTCGCCCCAACACCCCGCCAATGACACCCCCGGGCCCCACCACCCACGTGGGTGGTGGCCAGAGGGACCCCCATGCCCCACACCCGACCCTACACCCCATCGCACCCACCACCCATAGGGTGTGTGGTGGCAGGGGTGGATCGGGTGTTGGTTGTGAGAACGATAGTAGTGGCATGGTGGTTGGTGGGTGGGGGTGGTTGCTGTGACGACGACAGCAGTGGCATGGTGGCAGAGTAGGGGCGCAGGATGGGGTGGTTGTGAGTGGGGGTGGGTCGGGTAGGGGTGATGGTGGGAGTTGTGACCAGGGCAGACCTACTAAGGACCAAGCAGGGTCCTGTGCATCTACTCACTTGATTACCGTAAAGGGAAAAAATGTAGGCGTCTTGAAGGTGCACCCACTTGATTTAGAGGGTGCCCTCAAATATTTTAAACCTAAGTTCGTAACACAAAATGAGTAGATGGTGGAGTTAAAAGTTTGGGGTTCGATTCCAACCCTCTAACTTTAGATCAGGAACCTGGAGCTACGAAGTGAGGGACCAATAGTGTAAATAAAAAAACAAAAATAATAAAAAACATGAAATACATATTAAAAAC